TGGTGTTCTACGAAACTCAGTCGCTGGAGGTGTGGAAGTCGGAATTCGGGCCCGCTTCGGGGCAGACGCGGGCCAACCTGCCGACGGACACCTCGACGGCGACGCTTCCTCTACTCACCGAGGTCGGTGAGCAGGCTGATGAGGATTTCGCGGTTGCCCCTGCCTCGCCATCTCCTGCCCCTTCTTCCCATCCCCTTCCCGTCGGACTACGTGGCTTGACTTCGGTTGGCCTCCGGCGATGAGGGGAGTCGTGGGGCGTCGCCTGCGGCGCCGGCCAGGAGCATCGCCGGTGGCCGACGTGATGCCCAGCCAGTCGCGGAGAAGCGGGCCGCGGATGTGCAGCCAACTTTGGACGCCGCGAAGGAAGCCGCGAAAAACACCGCAAAGGAGGCCGTGAAGAACACTGCGAAGGAGACCGCGACGGGCACCGCAAAGGACACCGCGAAAACCGCGAAGGAGACCGCAGACGAGACCGCGGACAAGCCCGCGGAGGAGATCGCGGATGAGACTGCGAAGAAGCCCGCGGAGAAAACCGCGGAGTCGTCGACAGGGGAGCTCTCGAACGGGCAGCGCGTGTCAGAGAAGCCATCGACAAAGGAGCTCTCAAACGCGAAGTGCGTGTCAGAGAAGCCGTCGACAGGGGAGCTCTCGAACGCGAAGCGCGTGTCAGAGAAGTCGTCGACAGGGGAGCTCTCGAACGGGAAGCGCGGGTCAGAGAAGCCGTCGTCAGGGGGGCAGTCGAACGCGGAGCTCGCTTCAGAGGAGCGGACGACAGGGGAGCAGTTCGATGAAGGCACATCAAGCGACGTGGTGGAGGTGCAGCCCAGACCTCGGAAGTCCGGCCGAATTCGGAGGCCACCCGACTTCTTCGTCCCCGCTGCCTTCAACACGGTCTATGATGTGGACGACGACGACGTGGCGTACGATGACGCCGAGGACGATGAGGAGTTTTCAGAGCTCGACCCCGACATGCACGCTGATCCCGAGCACCGTTGGGACATTTCAACCATGACGATGAAGGAGGCGTTAGCGAGATGGAAGGGCCTGGCGGTGAAGGCCGCCATGGAGGAGGAGATTCGTAGCCTCATCAACATGGGCACCTGGGAGCTGGCTGAACGCCCACCGGGGGTGAATATAATGAAGAACCGGTGGGTGCTGACCACGAAGTACCGCATCGACGACACTGTCAAGCGCGAAAAGGCGAGGCTGGTCGTGAAAGGCTTCACGCAGGTGTATGGCGCTGACTACGACGAGACCTACGCGCCGGTGAGCAGCTACGTCACGCTGAGGATTTTCCTCAGCATCGTCGCCGTCCTCGACCTCAACCTGATGCAGCTGGACATGAAAAACGCTTTTTTGCAGAGCAAGCTCGACCGCATGCTGTCCATGTACTAGCCGGACCACTTCAACGACGGGACCGGCCGGGTGTGCAAGCTGCTAAAGAGCCTCTACGGGCTGAAGCAGTCGCCGCTGCTGTGGTACACGACTCTCAACGACGTGTTGGTTGGCGCCGGGTGGAAGAAGAGCTAAGTCGACGAGGCTCTGTACTTCAAGGCCGACGACGCTGGGTGCTGGTCTACGTCGATGACCTTCTCGCCGCGAGCAGCAGCACCGCGATGCTGAAGGAGTTGAAGGAGCTGCTGGAGGCCGCTTTCGAGCTGTGCGAAATTTCGCTGGTGCAGAAGTATCTCGGCCTGGAGATCGTGCGCGACAGGCCGGCGCGAAAATTGTGGCTGCACCAGCAGGGCTACGCCGAAAAGCTGCGCAAGCGCTTCATCGACAAGGAGCAGACCGGGCGCACCCCGAAGACGCCGGTCTCCGTCGCTGTCTATGCAGAGCATACATTCAATGACGAGGAAGCGCAGGAGCGTGAGGAGGAGGAGTACCGGCAGAAGGTCGGCTCGCTGCAGTTCGTGGCGACGACGACGAGGCCGGACATCGAATTCGCGTGCAGCAAGCTGGGGAGCGGCCTCACGATGAGGAGCGACCAGCGCTGGCGCGAAGTCAACCACTTTCTCGCCTACCTTGCCAACATGTGAGACACCGCTCTGGAGTACGGCGGTGGTCCAGAGTCGCTGGAGTTGGTCGGTTTCGTGGACGCCGACGACGCGGGCGACAAGCAGAACCGGATGAGCACGGGCGGCTACGTGTTCATCTACGGAGGGGCCGCGGTCTCCTGGTCAAGCCAGCGCATCAAGTGCGCGACGCTGTCGTCGATCGAGTCGGAGTACGTGGCGGCCGTCGAAGCCGGCAAGGAGGGACGTCGCCTTCGCTTCCTTCTCGCGAAATTCCAGCGGCTGGACGCCAGAAAGCCGACTGTCCTCAGGGTGGACAACAAGTCGGCTATCACGGTTGGCGAGGGCATGGGGTTAACGGGCAACCTCAAGCACATGGAACGGCGACAGGCCTAGCTGCAGCACATGGTGAAGCGCGGGAAGTTTTCGCTGAAGTACATCCCGACCGCTGAGCAGCCGGCCGACTTCGTGACGAAGGCGCTGCACTACCCGGCCTTCAACCACTGCTCCGTTGCAATCGGCCAAGTGCGCCTGGCCGATGTGGGCGACGGTGACAACGACGTGCAGCAGTAGGTGCCATGCCCTTTTACATGGCTGGTGCAATGACCGGCGTGCTGTGCGTTGTGTGCACGCGGACGGGCTATTCTCCGAGCAGTACTGCCGTGTGGGCCGGGGGAGGGGCCCAAGCGTGAACGCGGCATGGGAGTGTCAATGGGAGTTGTGTTTGGCCCCGTCCTCGCTTGGGCGGAGCCGATCGCGGGGGGCCACGAAATCGTGGGGGGCCACGAAATCGTGGGGGGCCATGAAATCGTGGGGGGGCACGAAATCGTGGGGGACCGCGGAGCCACGAAATCGTGGGGGACCGCGGATCCACGAAACCGCGGAGGACCGCGGTGACCGAAAAACCGCGGGAGGACCGCGAAGTACCCGGTCAACCAGGATACCCGAGCAACGTGCGCGAATGTCGCCAGGGATGTTATCTACGATGGCGATCTCAGGGGTGGTATCCCAAGGTCGACGTGGCTGGTGGGCGCCGTCACAGGCGGAATATCTGCGCTGGGCGTGTCACGGGGAGTTGGGCGCCAACCAGCTGCACGCACCTGCGAAGCTGGTGCACCGTTGTCCCGCGGATGCGACGCTGTGCAGCCGACATACTGCAGCGTTGGCGCACCGCGGACTTGCAACGTTGGCAAGCCACGACTCTGCTCTACTGGAGCGCGGTCGACAGAGTTGTGCTGGCACGCGGTCGACCGTGCTGCACTGGCAGTGGACGAGCAAGCCTTGCTAGGTCTGATGTAGTCATTGTTTCCAATGTTGATGCAATCATCCTGAACTTTTGTTATGCCGTTATTTCCTAGTGAAACTCTTGCCGATTTTCCCCGTGAACTAGCAAGCTGTGTTAGCACTTGGAAAGGACTAAGGAACAAACGAACGCAGAGATCACATGAGCATCCGTGCCTAGCCTGCAGCCTAGCTCCCGTTGCAATAGTTATCTCCGCAGGGACAGCTTGTCCGCAGACAAGTCGCGGACAAACGCCCGAGATCCCCAGACACGGAACGCAGACGCATCGCCAACCTTCCCCGTCCACAGCAGAGCTGGGGAGGTCTCCGGCATGGAGACCCTGGGCTGAAGGTTGATCTGATGCGCCGCGTACCGAACCGCAAACGGCCACAGAAAATGGGGGGCAGCCGCATGCATCATGGACGTGCGGGCGACGTCCATGACCATGCCAATGCGGCGCTCAGCAATCCCATTCTTCTGTGGAGAGTCCGGAAGCGTGAAGGTCTGGCGGATGCCTCGTGCACGACAGTAGGCTTGCAGAAGGCCAGACGAGAACTCCCCGCCTTTGTCAGAGTGCAGACACAGAACGGGAAAGTCCGAGCCGAAGCTCCGCCTGAGCTGGAGACGAGCTGCGCAGATCCAGTCGATCAACACCTCAGTGACCTCACTCTTGCTGCGCAAGGGGAAGACTCTGGTGTAACACGAGTAGTCGTCAACCACCAGCAGGAAGTAGCGCTCGTGACCCTGTCCACAGACGCGGGCTGGGCCCCACACGTCCATGTGAAGCGTCTGCAGTGGGGCCTCTATCGGAGGAAACTGGGAGGATTGGAGGGTAGCCCTCTGCCATCCCTCAACACAAGAGACGCAGGTCGGGCCAGGCCCCGGAGGAAGGGGAGGGAGGGACTGGGGAAGACCAGAGACAAGGACACGGGAGGCCATGCTCTGGAGATGAAGCAGGGAGGGGTGACCAAGGCGGTGGTGCCAGAGGAGAGTCTCATGAGACACGAGGCGACACGAGCAGGGGGCAGACTCAGGACCAGACCTGGACGCTGCAGCAAACACCTGACCCGACGCAGCTACCTGACCAGACGCAGCAAGCGGAGGAAACACGGTAGTCACTGTGTACAGACTCGACCCCGGCCGACGTGTAAACGTGGCTAAGTGTCGGCCCGTGTCCGCGTCCGTGCAGTGGGTCACCCGCTGGCCCGCAGGGGTGAACTGCTCAACCCCCCCATCCTGGAGGTCAGCTCCCGCCACCAAGTTTGCAGAGAATGAGGGGAGGTAGAGACCCGACAGGGAGCCAGACGGGACCGCACGGCACGGAAGGACAGTGTAGTAGCGAGCAAGAACAGGACCCCCAGAGGGGTCTGCCAGGGAGACTGCAACCGGCCGACTGAGCGGCGTGAGAGTGGTGCAATCTTGAAAGAAGGAGCGAGAATCACCCGAGTCAAGGGTGAAGGTGTGAGAGACCGGAGCTGACTCGGTACCTGAGAGAGCTGACTCACCAGCACCTGAGGAAGCAGACTCACTGGCACCTAGAGCAACAGCCTCACCAGCACCTGGAGCAGTAGTCTCACCAGTACCTAGAGCAGCAGTCCCAATGCCCGGGTCGGGCAGGAAACACCGGTAACGGTCACCCTCCTCACTAATAGTCACAACATACATGGCACGAAGAATAGCATCAAAGTCAAGATCAAAGATAGCTACTCCTGCCTTAGACAGCTCTCCCTAGCGAGGGATCTCAGTGGCGTCAGGGAACTGGCGACGCCAAGCGTCGATCAGGCGGCCAAAGCAGCGCTGGGTGGGGTGCAGACCCCCGCACGGCTCACCCGCACGGTCGCCAGTGCGCAGGACGTAGGTGCACGGACCAGTACCCCCACCTCGTTGGCGTGCAGCGTACCACTCACGGAGCTGCTGAGGGGACAGGGTCTCCTGACTGCACTGCTGCTGCTGGCGCTGGCCACCACTGGAGCCACTCCTCTGCGACGAGCCACGTCCTCCTCCTCCTCCTCCTCCACCACCGCCTCCACCACCTCCACCACCTCCACCACCTCCACTCCCACCGCCGCCGCCGCCGCCTCCGCCTCCACTGCCGCTACTGACATCTCCGCCCCCGTCACCACTCCCACCACCACCCCCACCCCCTCCGCTGCCTCCACCGCCGCCTCCACCGCCCCCGCTAGCTCCTCCAGCGCCCCTGCCCCCCTTGCCTCTACCAGGGCGAAGTCTCCCACTTGGGGCAAACGCCGCACCGACCGACTCCAAACCAACAAGGTCGGCCGTAGCCGCAGAGGCAACGGAGGGCAAAAGGGGGGAGGAGGAACACCCCTCAAAAAAGGGGGTGCGCGGGTCACCACGAGAGGCTCCTACAGCTAGTATGCTCTTCTCTGCTGCTAGGAGGGCCTTCTCGAGGAGGTCAACGGTGAGAGTGGTGGGGCAAACTGAGAGGAAGTGGTCCCTGACTACGCGAAGGGAGTCAGGGAGGCGGGTGACTATGTAGTAGAGGGTGATGTACATGGGGGGGGGGGGTTCTTGGCGCAGAACTCAGCAGGAAGCGCAGCGCGATAGCGAGTGTCACTAGTGCGGAGGTGTGTAATGAGGTCAGCAACTATGGCAAAGGCATCAAAGTCAGGGAAGAGGTACGGTACCATAGGCGGCTCAGTGCAGCAGTGGCGGGGGAGGAGTAGCGTGCAACTAAAGCGTCGTACACGGTCTGGGCACTCTTGTACTGGCTAAAGTGCGCCCGCTCAGAGGTAGGCAGGTGGCGACGCACAGCAAGACGTGCAGCAGCATCGCGCGTGGCCCAGTATGAGTGAACAGTGGCGTCAGCATCAGCAGCGGGGGCAGGAGAGGCACTAGAAGTGAGGTCAAATAGGGAGAGGCCGTCTGCCCTATCGCACTGTAAGAAAAACTGCAGGTCGTCTACCCAGACATCAAAGTCAATGGCCAGACCCTCAGCGTCAAAAGCGAGGACACTAGGGGTAGCCATGACAGCTGTGGACTAGCAGCGCAGACAGTGGGGTGAGGGTAGTGCTGTGAAGAAAGGCGCTGCTCTTACCGGACAGGGCGGCTCGGGCGGCTCGCGCGGCAGGGCGACTCGGCGGCTCGGCGGCTCGGCAACTGGGTGGCTCGGCAACTGGGCGGCTCGGCGGCTCGGGTTGTGGGCGGGCCGGCGGCGCGGCAGCTCGGCTGCTGCGCAGCTCGGCGGCTCGGCTGCTAGGCGGCTCGGCGGCTCGGCTGCTGGGCGGCTGGGCGGCTCGGCGGCTCGGCTGTTGGGCGGCTGGGCTGACAGGCGGCTCGGCTGCTCGGCTGCAGGGCGGCTCCGCTGCCGGGCGGCTCGGTTGCTGGGTTGCACGGCGGGGCCGCAGGTAAGAGCGGGGGCGGGGCCGTCAGATACTGGTGGGGCCGCCAGGTAGGTAGCGAGGGCCGCGCAGGTAGGTGACGGGGCCGCGCAAGTAGTGGCGGGGCCGTCCGCAGGTGGCGGGGGGGGGTAGGTAGTGGCGGGGCCGCGAGGGTAGGTGGCGGGGGCCGCGTATGTAGGTGGCGGGGCCGTCCAGGTAAGTGGCGGGGGCCGCATAGGTAGTGGCGGGGTCGTCCAGGTAGGTGGCGGGGCCCGCGTAGGTAGGTGGCGGGGCCGTCCAGGTAGGTGGCGGGGGCCGCGTAGGTAGGTGGCGGGGCCGTCCAGGTAAGTGGCGGGGGCCGCGTAGGTAGTGGCGGGGCCGTCCAGGTAAGTGGCTGGGGGGCCTCGCAGGTAAGTAGCGGGGGCCGCACAGGGCGGCGCTAGGGCCGCGAGGGTGGGGCGACGAGGCCGCGAGGGCGGCGCGAAGAGGCCGCGAGGGCGGCGCAACGAGGCCGCGAGGGCGGCACGACGAGGGCGGCTCGACGGGGTCGTGATCGCGACGCGACAGGGCCGCTAGGGCGGCGCGACGGGGCCACGAAAGGCTAGGAGAGGGGAGCGCGACTCGGGCTAGGGCTGAGCGCGCTCCGGTCAGGAAAAAAAAAAAATTGATGTTGGTGGGCCCTAGGAAGAGTTCCCACGAGGGAACCTGCTCGATACCATGTTAGAAAGGCAGCGTGAATGAATGCACTATGAATGAAAACGAGTACAAGTACCAACCCTAATTGGGTTGTACCCCTTATGGCTTACCCCACTGTAGCCTACAAAACATGCATCAGCTATAGTAATAAGACATCATCATACATGTAACGCCCACCAAAAGTACTTGATATTATGCAATTTTTCCGCCCGCGCCGAACCAATGTACTGATTTCGAAAGAAAAAATCTAAAACCCAATTGGAACGGATGCGATTTGGGGACGGACCAACCCTAAACACTGGGCGGGTTGCGCATTTAGGGTTGATCAATCCGAAAATGCATCCAGATACCTTTTGGGTTTCATCTTGTTTAGGTGGGAGTTTCATCTATGACCATTCGCCTGATTTATTCCCTGTATTCATCTTGAAAACACTGTTGTGATTGTACACTATATTTTGTTACATTTTTTTCCGAGACCCTTGTTCATTACGAATGGCATATTTTCCCATCGTGTAATCGTTACTTGAAGCGCACTTGAAGATGTGCATAACGCACCACCTGAAACGACAAAAACATGTGCATGACAGTCCCAGCCGAGTTTCGTTTCGACAGAAGTCGCGTCACGTCAACATCCAATTTCTGTTCAGTCTGCCTGAGAGACCTACTCATCTGGAGTGTCTGTCTGCATATGCCATTTTGTGTGCTCTTGGAATTGCAGGCGCAAATGCGAACTCTCCCCCAAAAAACGTAGCAGTTACAGCTCGGCGTAATATTCGCAAATGGCTGTTTCTCTGCTAAAACTCCATCCCGCTTGCCTGAGTGTTATGATTGTTTAGAGCGTGGCCTTCACTTTTGTTTTTTTAGTTCTGGGCGTCCGTGTTTCAGAACTCAGTTTCCTCCCGTATTCTAAAGTACTAGAATCTGGCTCACATATTACAGTACTAGAATCTGACTCTGCCACACTGAAAGGGAAAATATATGGAAAGTTGCCCAATGCCAAGTCAAACCCTTGACTGCTCGCAGTCCTTGGAATTTGCATGACTTTTGTCATCGACCGTGAAGTCAAGCCAATTTGATCTGACGTGGCAACTTTCGGCAGTGAATTGGCTTCTTTCAGCTCGCAGCACAGCTCAGCTCGTGTCAGCACAGGCCCATTCTCGAAGACGTGCGAAGCTATACCCGACTCGCATATTCGCGGTGCGTTGATTCTCAAGCCAGCCTCCTAGCTTTCTTGATTTGAATCGAAGACACCAGCCTCAAGCTCCTTGCTGAAGTCGTTCACAACTGCTACTAGTTTCCCCACACTGGCAGCCATATCTAAGCAATTACTACGCCATCCTGTTCCGCAAGGAGGCTCCAGCTTGTTTCGAGTCTGTAATTACAATATGAAAACACGCGCCTCTTCGGGCTGTTTCGCCGCTGGTCGAAGAGCCGTGGGAGGGGCATCATCACAAAAAACCAGGCTTGAAAACAGGCGATTTTGGCTAGGTTTTCTGCCCAACCAATGGAAATCCGTCGGAACATTCGCAACTTGTTCCGACGGAATTCCACCGAGTGGCGCACTGGTATCGCCACTGTATTTTCCGTCGGTTTTCCATCTCGAAGGGACTGGATTAATTCCGATGGAAAGTAGACACGGTTTCCGGCGGATTTCCACTACCATCGCGCTTCGGTCGAAATGAGATTCCCTAGCAATAAACATGATAAAGTATTTTACTGTACAGTCAAAACATGGACAATGTAAGCGTTGCAAGACCCAATTTTATTTCCTACATATTTCATACCAATAATTATTAATACGCAGCCAAACCTGAACGATTTCAAATGATACTAATTGGCTGTTTTGCTTCACCTGAAGAAAAATGTGTCAACAAATATAAATTATTCAGTCAACAAAAGCAACAGATCCGAGAAACATGTTGCGCTACTGCAGAACAATAGTCGTCTTCTTGAATCCAGCCGCGTAGTCACTCGCATCAATGAGGATGCCGTTGCCAAACACAAACACGTCCCTGTCTTCAACATAGCCCACCCCAAGGTTGGTGACGGCATGCTCCACCCACCTCCGGCACCACTTGACTTTCTCCTCGTACAATGGCAAGTTGTAGTCGGGTTTGCTGCTCAACTTCCCGTCGGCGGTCTTCTCCAAGATCGGGTATTCCAACTGCAATGAACGATAATGGCAATAAGATTCTGGACAGGATGGAACAAAAAAAAAAACAAAATCTGAATCAAGGGGCTTGTACTTACTGCGAACAATGCAAACGCAATCTGGCGGGTCTTCCATACCCCCAGTGCCATGCCCGATCTCACGGATGCAGCGAAAATTCCCGCATTGAAGATTTCGCTCGAAAAAGGCCACATCGTGTTGTCGTCTACGTGCCAGCCCGGTCCCCACTCTTCTGTAAAGTTGAAAAAGGGAGTTTAGGAAAGGGTGAGTAAGGCAGGGGCGGGACAGAGATGGTGGGAAAGGAGCAGGTTAGGCACCTTCTACGCCCTGCAGTGGTCCTGCGAGGCAGAGAGTAAGGTAGGGGCGAGACGGAGATGGGGTGAAAATAGCATTTTAGGCGCTGCCGTGCCTTGCAGTGGCTCTGCCAGGCAGAGAGTAAGGCAGGGGCGAGACGGAGATGGGGGGAAAGGAGCAGGTTAGAATCTTCCGTGCCTTGCAGTGGCTCTGCCAGGCAGAGAGTAAGGCAGGGGCGAGACGGAGATGGGGGGAAAGGAGCAGGTTAGAATCTTTCGTGCCTTGCAGTGGCTCTGCCAGGCAGAGAGTAAAGCAGGGGGATAACGGAGATGGGGGGAAAGGAGCAGGTTAGGCACCTTCTACGCCCTGCAGTGGCTCTGCCAGGCAGAGAGTAAGGCAGGGGCGAGACGGAGATGGGGGGAAAGGAGCATTTTAGGCGCTGCCGTGCCTTGCAGTGGCTCTGCCAGGCAGAGAGTAAGGCAGGGGCGAGACGGAGATGGGGGGGAAATAGCATTTTAGGCACTGCCGTGCCTTGCAGTGGCTCTGCCAGGCAAAGAGTAAGGCAGGGGCGAGACGGAGATGGGGGGAAAGGAGCAGGTTAGAATCTTCCGTGCCTTGCAGTGGCTCTGCCAGGCAGAGAGTAAGGCAGGGGCGAGACGGAGATGGGGGGAAAGGAGCAGGTTAGAATCTTTCGTGCCTTGCAGTGGCTCTGCCAGGCAGAGAGTAAAGCAGGGGGATAACGGAGATGGGGGGAAAGGAGCAGGTTAGGCACCTTCTACGCCCTGCAGTGGTCCTGCGAGGCAGAGAGTAAGGTAGGGGCGAGACGGAGATGGGGTGAAAATAGCATTTTAGGCGCTGCCGTGCCTTGCAGTGGGTCTGCCAGGCAGAGAGTAAGGCAGGGGCGAGACGGAGATGGGGGGAAAGGAGCAGGTTAGAACCTTCCGTGCCTTGCAGTGGCTCTGCCAGGCAGAGAGTAAGGCAGGGGGATAACGGAGATGGGGGGAAAGGAGCAGGTTAGGCACCTTCTACGCCCTGCAGTGTTTCTGCCAGGCAGAGAGTAAGGCAGGGGCGGGACGGAGATGGGGGGAAAGGAGCAGGTTAGAATCTTCCGTGCCTTGCAGTGGCTCTGCCAGGCAGAGAGTAAGGCAGGGGCGAGACGGAGATGGGGGGAAAGGAGCAGGTTAGGGTCTTCCGTGCCTTGCAGTGGCTCTGCCAGGCAGAGAGTAAGGTAGGGGCGAGAAGGAGATGGGGGGGAAAGGAGCAGGTTAGAATCTTCCGAGCCTTGCAGTGGCTCTGCCACGCAGAGAGTAAGGCAGGGGCGAGTCGGAGATGGAGGGAAAGGAGCAGATTAGAATCTTCCGTGCCTTGCAGTGGCTCTGCCAGGCAGAGAGTAAGGCAGGGGCGAGACGGAGATGGGGGGGAAATAGCATTTTAGGTGCTGCCATGCCTTGCATTGGCTCTGCCAGGCAGAGAGTAAGGCAGGGGCGAGACGGAGATGGGGGGAAAGGAGCAGGTTAGAATCTTCCGTGCCTTGCAGTGGCTCTGCCAGGCAGAGAGTAAGGCAGGGGGATAACGGAGATGGGGGGAAAGGAGCAGGTTAGGCACCTTCTACGCCCTGCAGTGTTTCTGCCAGGCAGAGAGTAAGGCAGGGGTGGGACGGAGATGGGGGGAAAGGAGCAGGTTAGAATCTTCCGTGCCTTGCAGTGGCTCTGCCAGGCAGAGAGTAAGGCAGGGGCGAGAAGGAGATGGGGGGGAAAGGAGCAGGTTAGAATCTTCCGTGCCTTGCAGTGGCTCTGCCAGGCAGAGAGTAAGGCAGGGGGATAACGGAGATGGGGGGAAAGGAGCAGGTTAGGCACCTTCTACGCCCTGCAGTGTTTCTGCCAGGCAGAGAGTAAGGCAGGGGAGGGACGGAGATGGGGGGAAAGGAGCAGGTTAGAATCTTCCGTGCCTTGCAGTGGCTCTGCCAGGCAGAGAGTAAGGTAAGGGCGAGAAGGAGATGGGGGGGAAAGGAGCAGGTTAGAATCTTCTGTGCCTTGCAGTGGCTCTGCCAGGCAGAGAGTAAGGCAGGGGCGAGTCGGAGATGGGGGGAAAGGAGCAGATTAGAATCTTCCGTGCCTTGCAGTGGCTCTGCCAGGCAGAGAGTAAGGCAGGGGCGAGACGGAGATGGGGGAAAGGACCAGGTTAGGCACCTTCTACGCCCTGCAGTGTTTCTGCCAAGCAGAGAGTAACGCAGGGGGGATAACGGAGATGGGGGGAAAGTAGCAGGTTAGAATCTGCCTTGCCTTGCAGTGGCTCTGCCAGGCAGAGAGTAAGGCAGGGGCGAGAAGGAGATGGGGGGAAAGGAGCAGGTTAGAATCTTCTGTGCCTTGCAGTGGCTCTGCCAGGCAGAGAGTAAGGCAGGGGGGATAACGGAGATGGGGGGAAAGGAGCAGGTTAGAATCTTCTGTGCCTTGCAGTGGCTCTGCCAGGCAGAGAGTAAGGCAGGGGCGAGACGGAGATGGGGGGAAAGGAGCAGGTTAGAATCTTCCGTGCCTTGCAGTGGCTCTGCCAGGCAGAGAGTAAGGCAGGGGCGAGACGGAGATGGGGGGGAAATAGCATTTTAGGCGCTGCCATGCCTTGCATTGGCTCTGCCAGGCAGAGAGTAAGGCAGGGGCGAGACGGAGATGGGGGGAAAGGAGCAGGTTAGAATCTTCCGTGCCTTGCAGTGGCTCTGCCAGGCAGAGAGTAAGGCAGGGGCGAGACGGAGATGGGGGGGAAATAGCATTTTAGGCGCTGCCATGCCTTGCATTGGCTCTGCCAGGCAGAGAGTAAGGCAGGGGCGAGACGAAGATGGGGGGAAAGAAGCAGGTTAGAATCTTCCGTGCCTTGTAGTGGCTCTGCCAGGCAGAGAGTAAGGCAGGGGCGAGACGGAGATGGGAGGAAACTCGAAGATCCTATACATGGCTGCTTACTCACCGTTCCCATAGCCGATCAACAGCTCGGCGTCGTCAAGCTCCTTGGGGTCCTCGAGACCATCGTGGTCGTTTCTTCTCTTGATGCCCAGTGCTACAAGCACCTTCTTGCGAAGCCTTTTGGCGATGAGGCATCGAGTGTTCGTGTAAGTGTTGGAGACCGTTCTCAGGCTTCGCTTGCATCGGAAAGTCCACAAAATCTCTAGGTGTGGAGCAGCTGCCGGTGACATCATCCTTTTTAATCCAATCAGGGTTTTGTTGTCGTTTGGGTAAAACTGGATGCCGTTTGCGCTATTTGTCCAGAAGAAACACGTCGTCAGCTTGCTGCAAAATTTCTGCCATGGAAGCAAGGTGATGCGCGAGTATGTAAACGTTATAAGGAGGTTTGTAGTCACAACGTCCACGACACACAAAAGAACCGGCACACCGGAACAGTTAGAGTTATGAGTACACTTGTGTTTAGAAAAGAGGCGCATTCCGCATGACTCACCTGCCAGCCCCCGGTTTCCGCGTTGATGAAGTCGCAGGCAATTTCCTCCGGGGACTTCACACGCACCGGCTCCTTCACTGGTTCAACCTGAGTTCCGCCACCCTCCCCGTTGGCATCATGCCTGTCACATCCGGCACACCGCCTGCAGAGCTGCCCTAGCAGCTCATCCCGTAGTGCTTGCAGATCAGCCATTGTTGCATATGTATTTTGTGCAATTTTTTCACTTACAGACGCGACAGCACGCGGCCTGGGCATCCCGGCACCGATTCCTGGCCTTGGCACAGCAACCGGCCTCTGTGAACCAGTTGATGCTGCTGCATCGGGTCCGCGAGAACCAGAAGATCGGCCAGAAGGTGCTGCACCCAGTGCCACACCATTCATACCACCCCCGCTGGCATTGGATTGGGATCTATCACCCATGTTCGACCCTCCAGGTTGTGCCCCTGCACGACCACCACCAGCTGATGCCATGGGACCCCATCCTCTCTGCGTATGATTGGGCTGCCCAGTGCTGCCCCCTGCACTGTTAACCCTTTGGCTGCCCCATCAACGCCCGAGTGAGACCGGGGAGTTGGGTGAGACTACGGGGGCCAGACCTGGGATCATACGGCTTCCATGTCCTGCCAAAGTAGATGGTGCAGGTTGCCCTGCTCCTCCTAATCCCAGTCTGTACGACGCAACCCCGGCTCGGCTTGCACCACCTGCACTGAGCATGTGAGCCCGTGGTAACGTTGACATCGTTGCCCTTCCTCCCCCGCCGTTGCTCATTCCAGGACGTGCAGGTGCAGGGGCTGAAGTGGCCGGGTGGGCATTGCCTGTGCGTTGAGACGCGTAGGCACTGCCGACTCGCCCTCCTGACAGGTTGATTCGCGGTGGACCAGCAGCAGTCCCTGAACGATTGGAGTGTGCCAACCCCATGTTCAGTGGGGCTGCTGCAGCTACTGGCCGAGGTCCTCCCGTTCCCACCACCGGCTGATGTGTTGGGACCACTGCTGGAGCACGTGAGATGTGCTGTTGCTGGAAAATACCCAGAAATTGCTGTCCAGGTGCAGACGCCCCCAGTTGAACATGGCATATTTCCATGGGCGGGCCAACACCCGTATTCGCGATGTTAACTGCCATGCCACGAACATAGGCAACATGGGAAAAGGGTCATTTTGCGTAGGGCGCATGGAGAAAGGGGATGGGGCGAGCGGAGAGTGTGGGAGCGTGTGTGCTTGCGCAAATAGTGCACCGGCATGCTCATCCTGTGCACCGGCATGCTCATCCTGCAACGCTACGTTCATGTGCGTGAGCGGACCAAGGCTACCATTGACTCTCTTACCATAACAAGCAGCATGGTGATGGCCACTCATGCCAAATTTTGCCTACCTGCTGCTCCCCTACCTCTCCCCCGTCCCGTGCCAGCAGCTCGGCCTCTGCCACCACCAGCTCCTTGTCCGCCACCCCGATTGCCGCCTCGCCCTCCCCCTCTCCCTTCGACGCGTCCTCCACCCGTCCCATCGCCACGACCTCCCCGACCTCCGGCCCTCCCTCCTCCTCTCTCTCCGCCTCTCCCTCGGCCTCTCTCTCTCCCTCGTCCTCCTCCCCTCCCTTTGCCTATCCCTTCGCCTATCCCATCGCCCAAGCCTCCGGCCAGGCCACCGTCTCGCCATCCCCCCCGACCACCGCCACGTCCTTTCACGCGCTCACCTCCGCGCTCACCTCCGCGCTCACCTCTGCGCTCATCTCCGTGACCCCCACCTCGCCCTCTGCCTCGCCCCACTCCACGCGCTTGCCGGGGTTGCTCTGGTATTTCTTCTTCGCGGCCACGTTTCCTCGCAGCACGTTTGGCGTTCTGCAGCATGCTTGCACGTCCCGCTGCAAGAGGCGCATTCAGCATCGCCATTGCTCTCGCCTTACCCCGCTCCAACGCTCTCTGCTCCTCAACATCCTCATCCATTGTCGACGCCTGGCTCTGTTGTGTGGCCATTGCTTGCGCTCCAGGGTACATGATATTCTCAATGTCGTCATCATCTTCAGCCCCATGACTGTGCGGCTGGGCAGGTTCGCCACCTTCTCCGCCGTCGCCTGCAGCGCCGTTCTCTCCATCGCATTGGTCTTCCTCTCCCGCAACTCCACCCCCCCCCTCGCCCGCATATCCTTCCCCCTCCTCTCCCGCAACTCCATCCCCCCCCTCGCCCGCATATCCTTCCCCCTCCTCTCTCGCAACTCCATCCCCCCCCTCGCTCGCATATCCTTCCCCCTCCTCTCTCGCAACTCCATCCCCCCCCTCGCCCGCATATCCTTCCCCCTCCTCTCCCGCAACTCCATCCCCCCCCTCGCCCGCATATTCTTCCCCCTCCTCTGCCGCAACTCCATCCCCCCCCTCGCCCGCATATCCTTCCTCCTCCTCTCCCGCAACTCCATCCCCCCTCTCGCCCGCATATCCTTCCCCCGCATCTCCGTCCCCCCCCTCTCCCGCATATCCTTCCCCCTCCTCTCCCTCAACTCCATCCCCCCCCTCTCCCGCATATCCTTCCCCTCCCTCTCTCCCGTCTCCTCCCCCCCCCTCTCCCGCGTAGCCTTCCCCCAATTCCGCCTGATTCTGCACCCCGTCCCCTGCGTACGCATTTCCATCTTCCCCAGCGTATCCTTCACCCGCATCTGCAAATGCCGCCACCCCGTCCTCCGCAAACCCTTCTTCCCCTTCTGGGCCATTCCCCATACCCGCTCCCATTGCGTAAACGTCTTCCGCTTCTCCCTCTTGCCAATTTTCCTCCTCTTCCGCAAACCCCTCCCCTCCTTCCATATCTTGTCCGAACTCCTCTCCTTCCTGATTAATGTACCCTGCACCTTGCCCCTCTTCGCCTCCTTCCCCCGCGTACGCGTTGCCTTCCCCATCGTACCCTTGCCCTTTTTCTGCGTACCCTTCCTCGCCCCCGTTCTCGTAGTCGCCACCATCACCCATTGTGACGGACGCCTCGTAGGCAATACACGAGCCGGTTGGTTAGCGTCAGCGAGGGATTTTCTTAACCCTGATCTCCGACGCCCATGGATGAAACACGGGAAATCGTACCTCACGGTAAAACAGGTAAAACAGTGGTGAAGGCGACGTAGGCTGACTGCAGGTGCAGAACAACTAAGGCAGATTGGCAAGAGAGGGAAGGGATCGGTACCAGCAAGCTAGCTTGCTGGAGGAGAGAGGGACTACAGTACCTAGCTGCTCAGCTAGGGTCGTTCGAGCTTCGTTGCTGGGGTCTTCCAACGTCTTGGCTGTACAGTGATGCCATTTGGGGTCTCCAACTAGCTGGCTCAAGCAGATGTCAACCGTAGCGATGCCAGCAAGCCAAACACGACCACTTGCGTTTCGGTGTGACAACATTTTCCGGCGGGAACGAAATCGTCGGACTCGCACCGACAACCAAGCATATTTTCCGATGAGAGAGACTATTCAGTCTCCCACGGACACCCGATGTTCCTACGTGTACGAACTAAGCACTTAAATACCGTGTGCGGGCAGAGCAAGCTTGCCATAAAAGAGGGGAGAGGTTGCAAACCGTCGATAGAACAGGTTTTTGCTGGTCGCAAAAGCTTCGAGAAGGAAGCCAGGCAGCTCACAATCGCGACATTGGATGCAACTTGTTCAGTGTTTGTAGCGGCTTGCAACTGACGGTGGCGTGAGCGGTGAGGCTTGAACTGTTGCGGGCAATTGGCACTGTACGTGTACGTGAATTGTTCACAGGATGCGATGCAGTCTAAGGACAATGCTGCCAGGTGAGCCAAGTCTGGCGTGGCAGTATCGCCTAGGCGCAATCGGCTCTGTATGAAACTGGTGCGCAGTGGGGAATACATTTTCAAACATATTCTTGCCTATAATCCTTACTTGTTGAAAAAAGTTTACATGGTTAACGAGCAATATATTGGTCACTTGCAAAGCTAGGTATGCATTAAGGGGTGTCAATTGAAAGTACGCTAAGTCATGCAGGGCGGTGAAACAACGGAAATATGAGCACGGCATAGTGCATGAACTACTATCCGGTTCGAAGCAGCAAGATGTTTGAAGGGTATAAGGTGCAGACAACGTATAGAAGTGCAAAGGAGGACATGATGTGCAGCCAAGAATATGAGGTGCAGAGAAGGATATGCGGTGCAGTGAAGGATAAGAGGTGCAGAGATTGATATGAGGTGAACGTGAGGATGCGAGGTGCAGAGACTGATGTGAGGTGAACGTGAGGATGTGAGGTGCAGAGATTGATGTGAGGTGAACGTGAGGATGTGAGGTGCAGAGATTGATGTGAGGTGAACGTGAGGATGCGAGGTGCAGAGACTGATGTGAGGTGAACGTGAGGATGTGAGGTGCAGGGACTGATGTGAGGTGAACGTGAGGATGCGAGGTGCAGAGATTGATGTGAGGTGAACGTGAGGATGTGAGGTGCAGAGATTGATGTGCGGTGAACATGAGGATGTGAGGTGCAGCGATTGGTGTGAGGTGAACGTGAGGATGAGAGGTGCATAGATTGATGTGAGGCGAACGTGAGGATGCGAGGTGCAGAGACTGATGTGAGGTGAACGTGAGGATGTGAGGTGCAAGGACTGATGTGAGGTGAACGTGAGGATGTGAGGTGCAGAGATTGATGTGAGGTGAACGTGAGGATGTGAGGTGCATAGATTGATGTGCGGTGAACGTGAGGATGTGAGGTGCAGAGATTGGTGTGAGGTGAACGTGAAGATGTGAGGTGCAAAGATTGATGTGAGGTGAACGTGAAGATGCGAGGCGCAGAGACTGATGTGAGGTGAACGTGAGGATGTGAGGTGCAGAGATTGATGTGAGGTGAACGTGAGGATGTGAGGTGCATAGTTTGATGTGAGGTGAACGTGAGGATGCGAGGTGCAGAGACTGATGTGAGGTGAACGTGAGGATGTGAGGTGCAGAGACTGATGTGAGGTGAACGTGAGGATGTGAGGTGCAGAGATTTTCGGGAGGTGCACATGAGTATGTGAGGTGCATAGACGAGTCATCATAAGGATATGAGGTGCATAGTAGGATATGAAGTGGAAGAAAAGGAGTGGAGTTTGGAGGGGAGGTGAGGAGGGAGCAGTTGTGCTAATGGATGCAGAGAAGGAGATGAGGGGGTGGCCGAGAGTGGGTGATGTGAACATAGGACACCGCAATATCATTGACGCACAGCACTCAATACTCGTTAGCAAAGGTTTATACAAGCAAGCTCATGCGTGACAGACGCAAAGATATACTAGTCAAACAGTTCCTTGATACCATCAAGCATATCATCCCAGATGCCCAGTTCGCGATTGTGCAGCGGATTCGGATCCAAAACACCTTGGCGCCACACCTCCCTGAAAAGGTCCTGATGCCACTGTGCTCTGGAAAGATCATGCCGCCACACCTCCTTGAGAAGATCCTGCCGCCAAACGTCTCCGTTCGCCGGACGGGCCCTACACTTCGCTGCTCGCCGGCTGCGGAAAGGATAATCCGCAACATACAAAAATAACGGATGGCCAACACCGGCGGCCGGAATATAAACGGAAGGGACCGTGTCCATGGATGGAGCCGTACAGCAAGCCGGTGTGTGCAGAAAGTCTGCAAAGTGTGTGAATGGGAGAACAGTGGGGGAGCATGGGATTAGCTGGACGTTGAACACTAGAGATTGTGGGATTGCCAATAAGGGAGGAGCACGGGAGAGAGCGATCAGCGGAGGACAAGGAGAAAAGGCAAGCGTGCGCCATCTCATGGAGCACAAGCGCGCAACACGGGAGAGAGAAATAGCGCAGGATGGTGAGAAGAGGGTTTGCATGCATAAATGAAACGAGCCATGGGAGAGCTGACATAAAGCAAGGGAGAGAGCTGACATGCAGCGAGGGAGAGAGCTGCCATGCAGCAAGGGGCTGGAACTGAAATGCAGTATGATAGAGAGAAAACTTGCAGCAACGGAGAGAGCTGACATGCAGCAAGGGAGAGAGCTGACATGCAGCAAGGGATAGAGCTGACATGCAGCAAGGGAGAGAGCTGCCATGTAGCAAGGGGCTGAAACTGAAATGCAGTATGATACAGAGACAACTTGCAGCAACGGAGAGAGCTGACATGCAGCAAGGGAGAGAGCTGACATGCAGCAAGGGAGAGAGCTGACATGCAGCAAGGGAGAGAGCTCAAACGCAGCAGAGATGAGAGCGGAAGTGCAGCACGGGCTTCAGTGAAAGCGCAGCACGGGAGAGAGTGGCCAGCACATGCAGCAAGGGAGATAGCGCACGCGCAGCACTAGGGATAGCGCAAGCGCAGCATTGGAGATAGCGCAAGCGCAGCACTGGAGATAGCGCAAGCGCAGTACGAGGGAGTGCGGAAACGCAGCAGGGGAGAGAGCGTAGGCGCAGCACGGGTGTAAGCGGAACTGCAGCACGAGAGGGAGCTAAGGTCAGAGGCGAGCACTCCACGTTGTGATGGCACGTGCGCGAATTTCCTGAGGTCTGCGGAGAGGTGGGTAACCGAGCTCGGCGGGGATTCCGCATCGCGAGGGTGAGGCAAGATGCGGGAGAGAAGGAGCTCACCAAAAGGCTGCCCGACGTCGACTGTCGGTGCGCTATCCCACGGGGCGCAGGGGAGCAAGACACGAGGAGGATACTTTCGCGCTAGATATCCAAAAAAAAGGTGAGGGGATATCTGCGCAAACAACTGAGGGATCGCAACATCATCATGGGAGAGAATGAACAACAACAACAGAGGGTGCACGAAAGAAGAACCGTCGTTAGCGGATTAGAGGCAAGGTATCGGATGGAGAAGCGACGAGGCAGAGGCATTTGTGGTAATGCCGCGATGGGGAGAATGTTAAGTGGATGGGAAGGGTGATTGGTGAGGTCAGCAGATGAGAAATGTTAGATTGTGTGCGGAAGGAGAGTGCAGTTGGTTGCTGAGTGACGATGTGGGCAGAATCATGGCGATTCCGCATCGCGAGGGGATGCAGTAAGCGAGGGGAGTGTAGGAGCTTACTAAAATGCAGCGAGACACCTATCGCCACTTCACGATACCGCAGCGCGACAGGATGATAGTTTTTTACGCTTGACGATGCCCTGATCTCTAGAGCAGAGGGACGCGCAGCAACGGCGCAGCTTCACGCGGGATATAGCGGGAGCGTTGCCTAATCGCGTGGCTGGAGAGAATAGATCCGTAAGAAGAGGTTTCCAGACAGTGATGAGTACCGTGCTTTGACAGACTGTAAGCTTCGAACGTCGAAGAACAAGTCTGATGCATTCTAAATTCACCCAGCGTGGGCCGGGGGTGGGGCCTGCCAGGCACTGAAGTGCTATGGTGCGTTGCTTAGCCGGTGAGGGGTGGGGGGAAACTGACACCCGTTTGACGCGATTGGTCACTGATTTCCCGCCGCACGTACTTTTCACACCACCTATCGCAGCGTTCGCTTTGTGGAGTTGGGTCGGGCGGTGCCCATTACAAGCATCGGTGGATTCCTTATTATTCATGTGGTGATGGTTTTTGTAATGAGAACAGTTATCTGTTCTCCAACGCCTGCATCACTTATTAACACGATATACCCAGCCGTGAACGATACGAGTAATTCGAGTGACAGCATCGCGGATAAAACGTTCCCGCGCCGCCATCTCGCATATATGGTGCTTTACTCACTAGGGCGACTTCGAATTTCAAACTCGTAAATCGAAATGTAGGTTCAAACCATCGTCGCCTTGCGCGTCGTGCTGCCGCGTCACCTACCATCACCCTCTCGTTATTTGTATGATGCGTAGGGCGAGGCTACATTCTGGCGGATGTGCCTTATAGAACTCACTCCTCGTTTTCTAGTCTCCTGGCTTGTCAATATTGATTCATAGCCTTCCACTCACCAGCACCACGTTTTCTATACACGACATAATCGCCCGTGATACTCGCTTAGCTCGTCAGGCTACAAATAAATATGGCCCTGGCGCTTCACCGAGATGACTAACGGAGGCTCTTCGCGCTAGAACCTGTGAACAAGCACCAGAACAGCTTGCCCCATCTCTCCGCTACCTGGCTCTCGCGTAAACTTCCTTCCGCGGTAACTGCCCGTTGTACTAGTTGGTCGCGCGGCTCGCGTGCGTCACCCTTGCTCCTTCTACCGCCTAAACTTAGACCGAAACAACCAGATAATGCCCACGCTGTCAGGAACTCGTGTCATGAGGCCGTCTTGGGTTTCACGCGACGGACCGCCATAGGTAGCATGAATCCCAACAGAATTCGTTGCATATTTTGCAAAGAGTGGTTTCGAAGTGCGCGAGTCTTTGGCCAGCACAAGGCCTGGGCCCGAACGTGCCGTGAGAAATATGCTGCACGGCAGTGTGGTAGGCCGTCCGCGCAAGAACATGTTGTTCTTGTCACCTCGCCCGTCCCTGATGCGAGAAATCATGCGGATCAGGAACCGGCCACTAACGTGCGTGAGGATCACGTAGTCGAGCAAGACGCGGGGGATAACTCTGCTGGCAGCAACTCCTCCTGTTCCTTCCCTGAGCATGAGCTGCCATCTGGGCCCACGAACGAGGATACTGCAGCGTCATCTGCGGGTACCACTAACTGCAGAACTGCTGACCCACCCCCTTCCATCCCAACGAGCTTCGGGAGGCCCCCGCCCACCAATCCTGCAGCCCTCCGTTTCCTGCATTTTATGCGGAAAGCCAACAGCCGCCTCGGTTTGGCAGAGACTGACATCAACGCCCTGCTGCAGCTTCTTATGGTTCCCGAGCTTGCACATAAGGTACTCGAGGAGTACACCAACTGCCGGGAGCTCGAGCGATTCGAGCTTAGCCAACTGCAAGGGTTAGGCCGTGGGTACTCCACTGTAACCTTCAAGGTCGCGGGCTTCCCAGCACAGACGCTGTTTTTCCGCAACTCATTGCAGGTCCGTGTGGTGACTGTTCCTTACCTTTTTGTGCTTTCGATGCAAGTAGCAATGTGATGCGAATATGATACTCCCTCTACTTTCTGCCTCGCATGCCCTTGCCGACCTGTTTGGGGATCCCCGCAATGCACCGGGGTTCGTTCTGAAACCGCGGGAGGACTATGACCCTGAAACCATGGAGAGGAGGTACACCACGCCGGAGACGGGGACATGGTGGCATGAGGCGCAGGTGAGATTGCAACTCGGCCCGATTAATGGTGTTGTCCTGCCATGTCATCAGATTTGGACACGGTCGCAAGCTCACGCATTCCAGGTTATCCCTCCATCGGTTAACTATCGGCCAGGAGAGGGACAGAGGTGGGCGGACAGAGGAGAGGAGGTGTGAGATATTCACCGCCATGCTCCTCCTTGCTCCACCCCTGCACTTCTTCCCCCTTCCTCCCCTACCATCCCCATGCTTGTCTTTCTAACCATCGGCCAGGAGAGGGACAGAGGTGGGCGGACAGAGGAGAGATGGTGTGAGATATTCACCGCCATGCTCCTCCTTGCTTCACCCCTGCACTTATTCCCCCCTCCCCCCCATACCATCCCCATGCTTGTCCCTCTAAACATCGGCCAGGTGAGGGACAGAGGTGGGCGGACAGAATAGAGGAGGTGTGAGATATTCACCGCCATGCTCCTCCTTGCTCCACCCCTGCACTTCTTCCCCCTTCCCCCCCTACCATCCCCATGCTTGTCTCGCTAACTATCGGCCAGGAGAGGGACAGAGGTGGGCGGACAGAGGAGAGGAGGTGTGAGATATTCACCGCCATGCTCCTCCTTGCTCCACCCCTGCACTTCTTCCCCCTTCCCCCCCTACCATCCCCATGCTTGTCTCTCTAACTATCGGCCAGGAGAGGGACAGAGGTGGGCGGGCAGAGGAGAGGAGGTGCTGGGTACTTACCATACTGCTACCTTTTGCTACACGATTATTTTCGCATCCCTATTTCTGGTTCTCTTTACCTTCAACGTCAGGCGGAGCTTGGACCAGACGTGGTTATTGCTGGGATAATCTTGTACAGTGACGTCACACACCTCAGCAACAACGGCAAGAAGAAGGCACATCCGGTGATGATGAGCATCGTCAACATCTCGCAAGGCAAGCGCTGGGCATCTTCTGGCCATGTGCTCTTGGGGAATCTCCCCATACCACCAGCTGGCATGAGCTCCGCACAAAGCACAGAGTTGTTTCACAAAGCCGTTGAGCTCATGCTACAACCCATCCTTGATGGCTTGAAAAGGTAATGTTTGCAAATCGAACCCCGATTGCCTCTCGTAATTTGCACGTAACCAATCCCCGTTGTCCTTCATTGAACTCGTTGCCCACAATGCCGTTGTCATGCGGAGGTAATTCCATGCTCCATTCCGTCGCACTCACCAAGTATCAAACACTCCAGTGCACACGTTCTCAGAGCCGCGTTTGGTCCCTTTCAATGCAGTGGCTTCATGATGAAGGACCCAAATGGCGTTGAGCACCATGTGATACCCATCCTGTACGCCTGGGTGTGTGATTTTCCCGAGAGCTGCAAAATTACATGCACGCTTTCTGGTGCTACCAATCGGCCGTGCAGCATATGCTATGCTCACAAGGTATGTGGCACTTTGATTAGGCGATCTACCATCAGTCAAACTAGTACCCAATGACATCTAAATCGCTTATGTCAGTCTTGGCGGGGTTTTGTAGTCAATGGTGCTCCCTCTCGTTCGTGCAGGATCACTTCTGTGACGTGTCAGCCCCAAACGTCTCACGCACTCCAGTGCAACAGCGTTGGATCAAGGAAAACTGGTACAAGATGGTACAAGTGCAGCCGCGGAAAACACTTGGGATGGAATATTCAACGTTCGACGTGGATGTAAGTGTGACGAACGACAAGTTATGAACGGCCCCACATATTTGGCATCCACTAACAAGCCATCCTCTATGCCATCCCAGGTGCTCACCACTCTCTTTGCCATCCCATGTGCTCACCACTCTCTTTGCCATCCCATGTGCTCACCACTCTCTCTACCATCTCATGTGCTCACCACTCTCTCTACCATCTCATGTGCTCACCACTCTCTCTACCATCTCATGTGCTCACCACTCTCTCTGCCATCCCATGTGCTCACCACTCTCTCTGCCATCTCATGTGCTCACCACTCCCTCTGCCATCTCAAGTGCTCACCACTCTCTTTGCCATCTCATGTGCTCACCAATCTCTCTGCCATCCCATGTGCTCACCACTCTCTCTGCCATCTCATGTGCTCACCACTCTCTCTGCCATCTCATGTGCTCACCACTCTCTTTGCGATCCCATGTGCTCACCACTCTCTCTACCATCTCATGTGCTCACCACTCTCTCTACCATCTCATGTGCTCACCACTCTCTCTGCCATCCCAGGTGCTCACCACTCTCTCTGCCATCTCATTTGCTCACCACTCTCTCTGCCATCCCATGTGCTCACCACTCTCTCTACCATCTCATGTGCTCACCACTCTCTCTGCCATCCCATGTGCTCACCACTCTCTTTGCCATCCCATGTGCTCACCACTCTCTTTGCCATCCCATGTGCTCACCACTCTCTTTGCGATCTCATGTGCTCACCACTCTCTCTGCCATCCCATGTGCTCACCACTCTCTCTGCCATCTCATGTGCTCACCACTCCCTCTACCATCTCAATTGCTCACCACTCTCTTTGCCATCTCATGTGCTCACCACTCTCTCTGCCATCCCATGTGCTCACCACTCTCTCTGCCATCTCATGTGCTCACCACTCTCTCTGCCATCTCATGTGCTCACCACTCTCTCTGCCATCTCATGTGCTCACCACTCTCTTTGCCATCCCATGTGCTCACCACTCTCTCTACCATCTCATGTGCTCACCACTCTCTCTACCATCTCATGTGCTCACCACTGTCTCTGCCATCTCATGTGCTCACCACTCTCTCTACCATCTCATGTGCTCACCACTCTCTCTACCATCTCATGTGCTCACCACTCTCTCTGCCATCCCACGTGCTCACCACTCTCTCTGCCATCTCATTTGCTCACCACTCTCTCTGCCATCCCATGTGCTCACCACTCTCTCTACCATCTCATGTGCTCACCACTCTCTCTGCCATCCCATGTGCTCACCACTCTCTTTGCCATCCCATGTGCTCACCACTCTCTTTGCCATCCCATGTGCTCACCACTCTCTCTACCATCTCATGTGCTCACCACTCTCTCTACCATCTCATGTGCTCACCACTCTCTCTACCATCTCATGTGCTCACCACTCTCTCTGCCATCCCATGTGCTCACCACTTTCTCTGCCATCTCATGTGCTCACCACCCCCTCTACCATCTCAAGTGCTCACCACTCTCTTTGCCATCTCATGTGCTCACAACTCTCTCTGCCATCCCATGTGCTCACCACTCTCTCTGCCATCTCATGTGCTCACCACTCTCTCTGCCATCTCATGTGCTCACCAATCTCTCTGCCATCTCATGTGCTCACCACTCTCTTTGCCATCCCATGTGCTCACGCTTCTCTCTACCATCTCATGTGCTCACCACTCTCTCTACCATCTCATGTGCTCACCACTCCCTCTGCCATCTCATGAGCTCACCACTCTCTCTACCATCTCATGTGCTCACCACTCTCTCTACCATCTCATGTGCTCACCACTCCCTCTGCCATCTCATGTGCTCACCACTCTCTCTACCATCTCATGTGCTCACCACTCTCTCTACCATCTCATGTGCTCACCACTCTCTCTGCCATCCCAGGTGCTCACCACTCTCTCTGCCATCTCATTTGCTCACCACTCTCTCTGCCATCCCATGTGCTCACCACTCTCTCTACCATCTCATGTGCTCACGACTCTCTCTGCCATCCCATGTGCTCACCACTCTCTTTGCCATCCCATGTGCTCACCACTCTCTTTGCCATCCCATGTGCTCACCACTCTCTTTGCGATCTCATGTGCTCACCACTCTCTCTGCCATCCCATGTGCTCACCACTCTCTCTGCCATCTCATGTGCTCACCACTCCCTCTACCATCTCAAGTGCTCACCACTCTCTTTGCCATCTCATGTGCTCACCACTCTCTCTGCCATCCCATGTGCTCACCACTCTCTCTGCCATCTCATGTGCTCACCACTCTCTCTGCCATCTCATGTGCTCACCACTCTCTCTGCCATCTCATGTGCTCACCACTCTCTTTGCCATCCCATGTGCTCACCACTCTCTCTACCATCTCATGTGCTCCCCACTCTCTCTACCATCTCATGTGCTCACCACTCCCTCTGCCATCTCATGTGCTCACCACTCTCTCTACCATCTCATGTGCTCACCACTCTCTCTACCATCTCATGTGCTCACCACTCTCTCTGCCATCCCACGTGCTCACCACTCTCTCTGCCATCTCATTTGCTCACCACTCTCTCTGCCATCCCATGTGCTCACCACTCTCTCTACCATCTCATGTGCTCACCACTCTCTCTGCCATCCCATGTGCTCACCACTCTCTTTGCCATCCCATGTGCTCACCACTCTCTTTGCCATCCCATGTGCTCACCACTCTCTCTACCATCTCATGTGCTCACCACTCTCTCTACCATCTCATGTGCTCACCACTCTCTCTACCATCTCATGTGCTCACCACTCTCTCTGCCATCCCATGTGCTCACCACTCTCTTTGCCATCCCATGTGCTCACCACTCTCTTTGCCATCCCATGTGCTCACCACTCTCTCTACCATCTCATGTGCTCACCACTCTCTCTACCATCTCATGTGCTCACCACTCTCTCTACCATCTCATGTGCTCACCACTTTCTCTGCCATCTCATGTGCTCACCACCCCCTCTACCATCTCAAGTGCTCACCACTCTCTTTGCCATCTCATGTGCTCACCACTCTCTCTGCCATCCCATGTGCTCACCACTCTCTCTGCCATCTCATGTGCTCACCACTCTCTCTGCCATCTCATGTGCTCACCACTCTCTCTGCCATCTCATGTGCTCACCACTCTCTTTGCCATCCCATGTGCTCACCACTCTCTCTACCATCTCATGTGCTCACCACTCTCTCTACCATCTCATGTGCTCACCACTCCCTCTGCCATCTCATGTGCTCACCACTCTCTCTACCATCTCATGTGCTCACCACTCTCTCTACCATCTCATGTGCTCACCACTCCCTCTGCCATCTCATGTGCTCACCACTCTCTCTACCATCTCATGTGCTCACCACTCTCTCTACCATCTCATGTGCTCACCACTCTCTCTGCCATCCCAGGTGCTCACCACTCTCTCTGCCATCTCATTTGCTCACCACTCTCTCTGCCATCCCATGTGCTCACCACTCTCTCTACCATCTCATGTGCTCACGACTCTCTCTGCCATCCCATGTGCTCACCACTCTCTTTGCCATCCCATGTGCTCACCACTCTCTTTGCCATCCCATGTGCTCACCACTCTCTCTACCATCTGATGTGCTCACCACTCTCTCTGCCATCCCATGTGCTCACCACTCTCTCTGCCATCTCATGTGCTCACCACTCCCTCTACCATCTCAAGTGCTCACCACTCTCTTTGCCATCTCATGTGCTCACCACTCTCTCTGCCATCCCATGTGCTCACCACTCTCTCTGCCATCTCATGTGCTCACCACTCTCTCTGCCATCTCATGTGCTCACCACTCTCTCTGCCATCTCATGTGCTCACCACTCTCTTTGCCATCCCATGTGCTCACCACTCTCTCTACCATCTCATGTGCTCACCACTCTCTCTACCATCTCATGTGCTCACCACTCCCTCTGCCATCTCATGTGCTCACCACTCTCTCTACCATCTCATGTGCTCACCACTCTCTCTACCATCTCATGTGCTCACCACTCCCTCTGCCATCTCATGTGCTCACCACTCTCTCTACCATCTCATGTGCTCACCACTCTCTCTACCATCTCATGTGCTCACCACTCTCTCTGCCATCCCAGGTGCTCACCACTCTCTCTGCCATCTCATTTGCTCACCACTCTCTCTGCCATCCCATGTGCTCACCACTCTCTCTACCATCTCATGTGCTCACGACTCTCTCTGCCATCCCATGTGCTCACCACTCTCTTTGCCATCCCATGTGCTCACCACTCTCTTTGCCATCCCATGTGCTCACCACTCTCTCTACCATCTGATGTGCTCACCACTCTCTCTGCCATCCCATGTGCTCACCACTCTCTCTGCCATCTCATGTGCTCACCACTCCCTCTACCATCTCAAGTGCTCACCACTCTCTTTGCCATCTCATGTGCTCACCACTCTCTCTGCCATCCCATGTGCTCACTACTCTCTCTGCCATCTCATGTGCTCACCACTCTCTCTGCCATCTCATGTGCTCACCACTCTCTCTGCCTTCTCATGTGCTCACCACTCTCTTTGCCATCCCATGTGCTCACCACTCTCTCTACCATCTCATGTGCTCCCCACTCTCTCTACCATCTCATGTGCTCACCACTCCCTCTGCCATCTCATGTGCTCACCACTCTCTCTACCATCTCATGTGCTCACCACTCTCTCTACCATCTCATGTGCTCACCACTCTCTCTGCCATCCCACGTGCTCACCACTCTCTCTGCCATCTCATTTGCTCACCACTCTCTCTGCCATCCCATGTGCTCACCACTCTCTCTACCATCTCATGTGCTCACCACTCTCTCTGCCATCCCATGTGCTCACCACTCTCTTTGCCATCCCATGTGCTCACCACTCTCTTTGCCATCCCATGTGCTCACCACTCTCTCTACCATCTCATGTGCTCACCACTCTCTCTACCATCTCATGTGCTCACCACTCTCTCTACCATCTCATGTGCTCACCACTCTCTCTGCCATCCCATGTGCTCACCACTCTCTTTGCCATCCCATGTGCTCACCACTCTCTTTGCCATCCCATGTGCTCACCACTCTCTCTACCATCTCATGTGCTCACCACTCTCTCTACCATCTCATGTGCTCACCACTCCCTCTGCCATCTCATGTGCTCACCACTCTCTCTACCATCTCATGTGCTCACCACTCTCTCTACCATCTCATGTGCTCACCACTCCCTCTGCCATCTCATGTGCTCACCACTCTCTCTACCATCTCATGTGCTCACCACTCTCTCTACCATCTCATGTGCTCACCACTCTCTCTGCCATCCCAGGTGCTCACCACTCTCTCTGCCATCTCATTTGCTCACCACTCTCTCTGCCATCCCATGTGCTCACCACTCTCTCTACCATCTCATGTGCTCACGACTCTCTCTGCCATCCCATGTGCTCACCACTCTCTTTGCCATCCCATGTGCTCACCACTCTCTTTGCCATCCCATGTGCTCACCACTCTCTCTACCATCTCATGTGCTCACCACTCTCTCTACCATCTCATGTGCTCACCACTCTCTCTACCATCTCATGTGCTCACCACTCTCTCTGCCATCCCATGTGCTCACCACTCTCTCTGCCATCTCATGTGCTCACCACTCCCTCTACCATCTCAAGTGCTCACCACTCTCTTTGCCATCTCATGTGCTCACCACCCTCTCTGCCATCCCATGTGCTCACCACTCTCTCTGCCATCTCATGTGCTCACCACTCTCTCTGCCATTTCATGTGCTCACCACTCTCTCTGCCATCTCATGTGCTCACCACTCTCTTTGCCATCCCATGTGCTCACCACTCTCTCTACCATCTCATGTGCTCACCACTCTCTCTACCATCTCATGTACTCACCACTCCCTCTGCCATCTCATGTGCTCACCACTCTCTCTACCATCTCATGTGCTCACCACTCTCTCTACCATCTCATGTGCTCACCACTCTCTCTGCCATCCCACGTGCTCACCACTCTCTCTGCCATCTCATTTGCTCACCACTCTCTCTGCCATCCCATGTGCTCACCACTCTCTCTACCATCTCATGTGCTCACCACTCTCTCTGCCATCCCATGTGCTCACCACTCTCTTTGCCATCCCATGTGCTCACCACTCTCTTTGCCATCCCATGTGCTCACCACTCTCTCTACCATCTCATGTGCTCACCACTCTCTCTACCATCTCATGTGCTCACCACTCTCTCTACCATCTCATGTGCTCACCACTCTCTCTGCCATCCCATGTGCTCACCACTCTCTCTGCCATCTCATGTGCTCACCACTCCCTCTACCATCTCAAGTGCTCACCACTCTCTTTGCCATCTCATGTGCTCACCACTCTCTCTGCCATCCCATGTGCTCACCACTCTCTCTGCCATCTCATGTGCTCACCACTCTCTCTGCCATTTCATGTGCTCACCACTCTCTCTGCCATCTCATGTGCTCACCACTCTCTTTGCCATCCCATGTGCTCACCACTCTCTCTACCATCTCATGTGCTCACCACTCTCTCTACCATCTCATGTACTCACCACTCCCTCTGCCATCTCATGTGCTCACCACTCTCTCTACCATCTCATGTGCTCACCACTCTCTCTACCATCTCATGTGCTCACCACTCTCTCTGCCATCCCAGGTGCTCACCACTCTCTCTGCCATCTCATTTGCTCACCACTCTCTCTGCCATCCCATGTGCTCACCACTCTCTCTACCATCTCATGTGCTCACCACTCTCTCTGCCATCCCATGTGCTCACCACTCTCTTTGCCATCCCATGTGCTCACCACTCTCTTTGCCATCCCATGTGCTCACCACTCTCTCTACCATCTCATTAGCTCACCACTCTATCTACCATCTCATGTGCTCACCACTCTCTCTGCCATCCCATGTGCTCACCACTCTCTCTGCCATCTCATGTGCTCACCACTCCCTCTGCCATCTCAAGTGCTCACCACTCTCTTTGCCATCTCATGTGCTCACCACTCTCTCTGCCATCCCATGTGCTCACCACTCTCTCTGCCATCTCATGTGCTCACCACTCTCTCTGCCATCTCATATGCTCACCACTCTCTTTGCCATCCCATGTGCTCACCACTCTCTCTACCATCTCATGTGCTCACCACTCTCTCTACCATCTCATGTGCTCACCACTCTCTCTGCCATCCCAGGTGCTCACCACTCTCTCTGCCATCTCATTTGCTCACCACTCTCTCTGCCATCCCATGTGCTCACCACTCTCTCTACTATCTCATGTGCTCACCACTCTCTCTGCCATCCCATGTGCTCACCACTCTCTTTGCCATCCCATGTGCTCACCACTCTCTTTGCGATCTCATGTGCTCAACACTCTCTCTGCCATCCCATGTGCTCACCACTCTCTCTGCCATCTCATGTGCTCACCACTCCCTCTGCCATCTCATGTGCTCACCACTCCCTCTACCATCTCAAGTGCTCACCACTCTCTTTGCCATCTCATGTGCTCACCACTCTCTCTGCCATCCCATGTGCTCACCACTCTCTTTGCCATCCCATGTGCTCACCACTCTCTTTGCCATCCCATGTGCTCACCACTCTCTTTGCGATCTCATGTGCTCACCACTCTCTCTGCCATCCCATGTGCTCACCACTCTCTTTGCCATCTCATGTGCTCACCACTCCCTCTGCCATCTCATGTGCTCGACACTCTCTTTGCCATCTCATGTGCTCACCACTCTCTCTGCCATCTCATGTGCTCACCACTCTCTCTGCCATCTCATGTGCTCACCACTCTCTTTGCCATCCCATGTGCTCACCACTCTCTCTACCATCTCATGTGCTCACCACTCTCTCTACCATCTCATGTGCTCACCACTCTCTCTGCCATCCCAGGTGCTCACCACTCTCTCTGCCATCTCATTTGCTCACCACTCTCTCTGCCATCCCATGTGCTCACCACTCTCTCTACTATCTCATGTGCTCACCACTCTCTCTGCCATCCCATGTGCTCACCACTCTCTTTGCCATCCCATGTGCTCACCACTCTCTTTGCGATCTCATGTGCTCACCACTCTCTCTGCCATCCCATGTGCTCACCACTCTCTCTGCCATCTCATGTGCTCACCACTCCCTCTGCCATCTCATGTGCTCACCACTCCCTCTACCATCTCAAGTGCTCACCACTCTCTTTGCCATCTCATGTGCTCACCACTCTCTCTGCCATCCCATGTGCTCACCACTCTCTTTGCCATCCCATGTGCTCACCACTCTCTTTGCCATCCCATGTGCTCACCACTCTCTTTGCGATCTCATGTGCTCACCACTCTCTCTGCCATCCCATGTGCTCACCACTCTCTTTGCCATCTCATGTGCTCACCACTCCCTCTGCCATCTCATGTGCTCACCACTCTCTTTGCCATCTCATATGCTCACCACTCTCTCTGCCATCCCATGTGCTCACCACTCTCTTTGCCATCCCATGTGCTCACCACTCTCACTACCATCCCATGTGCTCACCACTCTCTCTACCATCTCATGTGCTCACCACTCTCTCTGCCATCTCATGTGCTCACCACTCTCTTTGCCATCCCATGTGCTCACCACTCTCTCTGCCATCTCATGTGCTCACCACTCTCTCTACCATCTCATGTGCTCACCACTCCCTCTGCCATCTCATGTGCTCACCACTCTCTTTGCCATCTCATGTGCTCACCACTCTCTCTGCCATCTCATGTGCTCACCACTCTCTTTGCCGTCTCATGTGCTCACCACTCTCTCTGCCATCTCATGTGCTCACCACCCTCTCTGCCTTATCATGCCTACCCGTCCCCTTCCCCTCCCCTCCAATGCGCTCCCCCTCCTATCATCAATGTTGTAACACTTTGCCTTTGCTTGCAGTCGTCCTTGTGGCTGTGGGACGTTTGGGGGAAACCGTGGGGAAATCCTTACCTCCTCATCATGCCCGACATAATGCACCAAGCGGACCTTGGGATTCTCCATCACATAGTTGCTGCGATCCGCTTCAACTACGAAAAGTTGCTGCCATTGTTTGACAGGTTGGATTTGGTGGTTGTGAGATGGCATGTGGTCGAATATGCATGGCTATATGACACGGCAATCATTGTTTTTACATGTTGTTGTGCCAGTGGATCGTCGTCGGTAATGTACCGTGTTTTCACCATCAGTATGTCATTTTGTCATGTTCAGGCGTTTGAATGACCTGAGAGAAATCATTCGCATGACTCATCTTCGGCTACCAAATTCCTCGTACTTCGTGTCCGATGCACAGGTGGCGGCCTTTGAGCATCGGTCTGTCCTGCAGGCAAGTGCCACTAATCTGGGCACAATTTATAGTCTTATGCTCCCCACCCCGTTCTTAACTCCTACCACGTTGACCTTCAACACCTACACACCACACGCCCCCTTACACAACTCATGGTTTGCGAGATTCACGTTTGATGTAACCTGGACTGTATGTTACCTTCCCTGAGTCCACAGGTGCTGATTTTTGTGGTTGCGGACAAGCTCGGGGACCTCCAGCTGAGCGCCATTCGAGCATACCTCGAATGGTATCACTATTGTGCAAGGCTCCCCGGGCACACAGAGAGCACCCTTCAGCGTCTCCAGGAGTTGACATACGAGTGAGCCCTCGCCTTCCACCCATTCGTGCATATCCTTGTGCCCACCCTTGGCTGTTTTGATCCATCTCGTAGACACGCTGCCCCCCCTTTTGTTTTTGGCCCGTCATGGTTCGGGGCTTAATTTACATCCCTTCAATGAACACAGCCGCTACCAGGGCATATTTCTTCCTGCCACTTGGACGAGTGGCAAAACTGAGGAGGGCGGGAAGGGCACCTCCCTGCGCGGCACTCTGTCATGCTTCTGACCTCCCCACACGTACTCGCAAGTCAGCCCCTTGTATGCCCTTCTTTCCCTGCCAATAACAGGTAGGGGCAGAGGGGAGTAGGGTGAGAGAGGCAGAGGTGTGTGTGGAGCTTTGTTATGCTCATCTTGCATCACTCTGCGCTGCTACACTTACCAGCCCCTTATGTGCCATTCACCCCATTCACTCCACATCATATATGAACAGTCTTGTGGCAAAGTTGCAAGATGCGTTTCCAACGCAGAAATCGGCATGGTGCATCATCAAGACTCACCTCCTCTCGCATTATGTTCCCGCCATTCGGAGGGCGGGTCATGTGTCGGAATTCTCGACAAACATGTGGGAGCACTTGCACGGTCCTCTTTTGAAGAGAATATACCGCAGATCCAACAAACGCAACGCTGACGCACAAATCATGAAGCATCACGAGAAAAGTGCGGCTTTCATCACGCTCGAGGACGAGGAAGGGGTTTGGTACACGATAATGCAGCAGGTAACTAGATCATTCGAACCTGCGTTTTGAATCAAACCTCTCTTTCTGCTATGGGGTGATTTGGGTTCAATGTCTCTGCCCTCTCATGCCACCATCAACAAGTTTTATCCCTCTCATGCCATCCTAAACCTGATTCTTCCACCCCATGCCATCATCATCCTCTCCACCCTCGGATGCCTTTCTCAACATCCCTGCCCTGCCATGCCATCATCAACATCCCTGCCCTCACATGCCATCATCAACATCTTTGCCATCCCATGCCATCATCAACATCCCTGCCCTACCATGTCATCATCAACATCTCTGCCCTCCCATGCCATCGACATATCTGCACTCCCATGCCATCATCAACATCTTTGCCATCCCATGCCATCATCAAAATCCCTGCCCGCTCATGCCATCATCGCCATCTCTGCCCTTCCACGCCTCCATCAATCTCCATGCCATCCCATGCCATCATCATCCTCTCCACCCTCTGATGCCTTTCTCAACATCCCTGCCCTACCATGCCATCATCAATATCCCTGCCCTCCCATGCCATCATCATATCTGCCCTCCCATGCCATCATCAACATCCCTGCCCTCCCATGCCATCATCAACATCCCTGCCCTCCCATGCCATCATCAACATATCTGCCCTCCCATGCCATCATCAACATCCCTGCCCTCCCATGCCATCATCAACATATCTGCCCTCCCATGCCATCATCAACATCCCTGCCCTCCCATGCCATCATCAACATATCTGCCCTCCCATACTATCATCAACATCCCTGCCCACCCATGCCATCATCAACATCTTTGCCATCCCATGCCATCATCAACATCCCTGCCCTACAATGCCATCATCCACATCCTTGCCCTACCATGCCATCATCAACATCCATGCCCTCCCATGCCATCATCAACATATCTGCCCTCCCATGCCATCATCAACATCCCTGCCCTCCCATGCCATCATCAACATATCTGCCCTCCCATGCCATCATCAACATCCCTGCCCTCCCATGCCATCATCAACATATCTGCCCTCCCATGCCATCATCAACATCCCTGCCCTCCCATGCCATCATCAACATATCTGCCCTCCCATGCCATCATCAACATCCCTGCCCTCCCATGCCATCATCAACATATCTGCCCTCCCATGCCATCATCAACATCCCTGCCCTCCCATGCCATCATCAACATATCTGCCCTCCCATACCATCATCAACATCCCTGCCCACCCATGCCATCATCAACATCTTTGCCATCCCATGCCATCATCAACATCCCTGCCCTACCATGCCATCATCCACATCCTTGCCCTACCATGCCATCATCAACATCCATGCCCTCCCATGCCATCATCAACATATCTGCCCTCCCATGCCATCATCAACATCCCTGCCCTCCCATGCCATCATCGACATATCTGCCCTCCCATGCCATCATCAACATCTTTGCCATCCCATGCCATCATCAAAATCCCTGCCCGCTCATGCCATCATCGCCATCTCTGCCCTTCCACGCCTCCATCAATCTCCATGCCATCCCATGCCATCATCATCCTCTCCACCCTCTGATGCCTTTCTCAACATCACTGCCATCCCATGCCTTCACCCACACTTCTTGCCCCTATTGAGTTCATTCCATTCGCATTCCACAGCGGTAATTTCCCTCCCCTTCTAAACTCACCCATAGGCAATGGACTCGGGGCGGCCAGTCCTGACGAGAGAATCAGAAGCACTTGCTGTTTCTCCGGCAAGTGACCCGACATCGGCCAAATTCTTTGCATCACGGTGGTCGCAGCAGCACCTGCATGCACACAGAGCTCTGACTGATGCCCTTGCAGATTACGGCATTACCTCGCCAACCATTCAAGTATGTAGTGATGGTGTTGATAGCCTTGCTGTCTCTTGCCCTTCCCCCCCGTGCCTTCCCTTCCCTTCCCCCACCTCTCTCTCTCTCTCTCTCTCTCTCTCTCTCTCTCCCTCTCTCTCTCTCTCTCTCTCTCTCTCTCTCTCTCTCTCTCTCTCTCTCTCTCTCTCTCTCTCTCTCTCGCCATCTTATGCCCTCTCAACTACTCTTACCGTGCGAGTTGTACGTACATATACTTATGCCTACTGTGTGGTGTTGTGGCAGACACATACAACATTGGCAGTGCCAGCATCCAATGCATCAAACGCCTCAAGAGTTGCTCATTTTGTGAGAGCAACTCCCGAGTGCCACAAGAGGCCCTGGTTTTCAGACATTGCTGTTTGCTGTGAAGGGGGGACTGTGGCCTACGCAAAGGTGTTGTTGTTGTTTCATTGTTTCCAAGGTGGGCAACGCTATGAACGTGAAGTTACCCCCGCATCGAATCCGAACTCGGTCTACGCGTTCCCGTATTGCCAGTGTCAGAATATTATTCTTATGTTCTAGCCTGTAGTGGGGTGCTCTATAGCGAGTACAACCCTTCTAGGGTTTGCTATTTGTATCCCCATTTCTGCTAGTTCATTCCTCTTTCTTTCTTCTAATTTTGTCAGCCAGCGGCGTGCCGTCTACCAGTCGTGCGTCGATCCCAGGTAAGCATCGGTCCAGTGGCAGTCGCAGTTTTCGTGCTGTAGCAGTGTTAATGAGGCTGTGGCTGGCTCCCCCGTCTACGAAGATTTTAACTAAGTCCGTCCCAATTTTCCCACTGAGCAGTATAGGGCTATCTACCGTGGTACCCTCCTTATTCGGCCGGGTGTGGTCGATTGCGTGAACCGGCACAATCACTCGGTGAGGGTCGGTTGGGTCGGGCGAGCGGCGTGACCTGTCAGTAGAGGGCCCGTCTGCTACTGACTTCCAGCGTTTCCCTGCTGCTTGGTCTGTGTCTGCTGCTCAGCTTCCCCCTTTCCCTTAGCGTTTTCCGGGCATTCGCTCTTGCGATGTCCCGGCCGATTGCACGCAAAGCAGCGCCCTTTGAACGGTGCGGCAGCGGCATTTGCGGCGACGGCGCGTATCGTGGCGCTCTTGTTCGTCCCACGAGGTCGATGTCCCCAGGTGTTGTTTCCGTAGGACCCCGGTCTCGGTCGGCGAAAGAAGTCGAGCTTCTCTGCCATAGCGAGAATTTCCTGAAACTCAGTGACGCCGCGAAGTTGGATTTCCTGAGCGATGTCCTGCTTCAGGCCGCCGATGTAGCGGTCGATGCGTTCGCTCTCATGCATGTAGCCCACCTGCTCGCATAGCGCCAGAAATCCGCTCGTGTAATCCTGGACGGAACCGAGTTGGCGCCAAGTGCGGAGCTTCTGTCGCGCCGAGATCGAGGCCGCGATTGGCTCAAATCGAGCGCGCAGACCTGCGCACCACGCGTCCCACGTGCGATACTGGGGCACCTCCACGAAATACGACGGCGCCCAGGGTCCGGTTTGTCCTTCCCGTGTCGGTAGTGTCGCGTAGTCTGTCGGCTTCGTGACGATGACGCGCCACCAGTCCATGGCGGGTCCTCGCAGCAACGACACGGCGTATCGAATCTTCGCCGAGTCCTCCGAGACGTAGTTGGCGTTGAAGAAGACATTCATTGTGAACAACCACGCCTGGACGGTAGGACCACCCCGTTGACTCGGGTCAAAGCATGGCGGGCGCTGCGGCTTCAGTGGCATCGGTGACGGCAGTCCCGAATCGTGGATTGGTGCCGAGATCGTGACGCGAGGCTGACTTGGGGCCGCAGGCGTCGCTCTGGGGTGTGTCGTGCCGTGGTCGTCGTCTCCGTCAGGGCGGACGACGCCATCACTGGCCGCGCTCGCGGGTTGCCCCACACTCCCGTGTTGTGATGTTGAGGGTGCGGGTTGAATCGGAGTGCCAGGTGCTTGAGATTGTGCTCTCATGAGGTCATTTTGCAGTGATGAGCGTTCTGCCGTCAATGCCGCGATTTCCTCGGAGCTTTCGTGCAGTTGTCGCAGCAGATCGTTCAAACGCTCCTGCGTGAGAGTGGTGACGTCGATATTTTCGGCCATGACGAAGGGCGTCGGCTCGTCTTAGTCTAGGCGCAGTCGTGGCTGCACGCGTTTACGAGAGAACGCGAGGGCAGCGGCTCCTAGGGGCTAAGGTGCGTAGGTCCCTTCGAGTGAAAAATCAAAAGTTGATTTCCTGGTGTGCGGAACAATGCGCGGTCCGAAAAGAAAGGGGCTCGGATACCAAGTGTTACGGGTGCAATGAATCGAAGTAGCGAGAATTGCACTAAGGTGTCAAACGAGTACAAAATGTGAGCGAAGGCATGAGCGAACATTTATACGCGAATTCTGCAAAACGGTAACGCGGTGCGTGCGAGCTTGCTGGTGCTACGCTGGAGCGAGGCTCGTGTGAAAGAGGAAAACAGGAATGATTGACTATGAAAATGAAATCAGTACAAGTAGCAAACCCTAACTGGGTTGTACCCCCTATAGGATACCCCACTACAGCCTACACAACAGTATGAGCTGTATATATGTTCTGACACACCCCCATAGGCAAAGTGGGGGAGAACAAGGGGTCACAAGACCAGTCAGGCAAAGCAAAACAAAGCTCAGGGTGGATCACAAAGTCACCACACAGTCCGAGCACAAGAGCAAGGCCAAAGGCCAGTTCACATGCAAGAGTACAGACATATATATAAAGCAAAACAAGCAAGAGCAGGTATATATATGTCACAGTACAAGTAAAGTCAAGAAGAGAGCAAGTGAGGCAAGACAGGCACAAGACCCAGCTGGGTACAAAAGCGCTGATGGTCACAAGGCGCAAGTGCCTTGGTGAACACATCAGCAGTGTTGGCCTCAGAGGCCACGTACGCAAGTCGCAACTGACCACGCTGCTGCAGCTCACGAGCAAGGAAGTAGCGGAGAGCAATGTGCTTCGTTCTGTGCTCCAAGCGCTGCTCTCGACACAAGGCCAGCATGGCCTTGTTGTCTACGTACAGCACTGGAGGAGAACGAGGCGGCTCTCCAAGGTCAGTCAGCAGGTAGGTGAGCCAGCGAAGCTCCTGTGCAGCCATGGCCCCGGCGTAGATCTCAGCCTCACAACTGGAGCCGAGAACCGAAGACGAGCGAGTAGACCGCCACGAGACAGAGCCGGAACCAAGGCTGAAGGTGTAACCCTGTGACGACCGCTGCGTAGCCTGGTCGTCAGCCCAAGAAGCGTCCGCGTGGCCTGTAAGGACCACTGGACTGCGCCCTCCAAGCACTAGCCCCATGCCCGACGTACTGCACAGGTAGCGCAATACCCTCTTCGCTGCAGCCATGTGCTCTGGTCGGTGTCTCCCAGGAGCAACATAGTGTGCAAGGATGCTCAAAGGGTATGCGAGGTCAGGTCGTGTGCAGGTCATCAGGTACATGAGGCAGCCAACAAGCTCTGGGTACGGACCACTCGACTCTACGGACTCATCCAAAGGCAGAGCTGAGAGTGAGTGGCGAGTAGGCAGAGGAGTGGCCTGAGGCGAGGAGTACGTGAAGCCGAAGCGCTGAAGGACCTGCTGCACCATGTGTGACTGAGTCAAGGTGATGGTGCGGCGTGCTCTGTCCCGAGTGATCTGCAAGCCAAGGTAGCTGCGCAGTTCACCCAGGTCTGTGCACGTGTGTCTCTTCAGCAGCTCGGACTTCACGTAGGCGAGTCCAGCAGTGTCCGCTGTGGCAAAGACCAAGTCGTCGACGTACACGAGGATGTAGAACGGCGGCAGGGAAGCGTCGGTGCGAAGAAACAGCGACGGGTCAGCAGTAGAAGGAGCAAACCCAAGAGCCGCAAGCGTAGTCCTCAGTGTGTCGTGCCACTCACGCGGTGCCTGGCGGAGACCGTAGACTGGCCGTCGGAGGCTCCACTGGGTGCCAGGAGGGAAAGTCCCAGTGAAGCCAGGCGGACGGCGCAGCTCGATCTCCTCGTGCAGGCTACCCTGCAGGAACGCAGTGCTGAAGTCGAGAGAGTGAAGCTCGTAGTCGCGCTGAGCGGCTATGTGCAGCAGCACCCGAAGAGTGGTCATCTTCGGGGTGGGAGAGAAGGTCTGAAAGTAGTCAACTCCCTGCCGCTGACTGAAGCCACGAGCAACGTACCGTGCCTTGAAGACAGGTGGAGAGCCCGGCGGCCGCTTCACCCTGAAGATCCACATGCCACTGACGATGTTCGCCCCAGGAGGGGGAACTGCGTCAACGTAGGTGCCTGTGGACTTCCAGGAAGCCATCTCTGCATCCATAGCTGCCTGCCACTGAGAGGAGTAGGGACCCTCTACGGCCTCCGCGTAAGAACGCGGAGTCGGGATGTCTAGTGCATCCGGGTCTCCCTCAGGGGCAAGCAGTACAGACGCGAGATGAGGTGAAGCAGCCGCTAGACACTGTAACTCCTCCTGCCTGTCCTCTAGGACGTCCGTGCCAAGAGCACACTCACCCCCGACGGACGGAGGACAGACAGACACAGACACAGCAACAAGACTAGCAGCGTAGTCGAGACGACAGCGAGCAGCAAAGTCAACGAGCTCAGCGACCAGAGCAGACGCAGCAGTGGACTCAAAAGAGGGGTCAGTGACGACAGTAGCAAGCAGACGCGTGACAGTAGGACTCGCAGCGCGAAGAGAGTCCGACTCAGGGTTGGCAAGCGCAGGAAGAGAGGACTCAAGAGGAGAAGGCAAAGGGGCACCCAGAGGAGTAGTGGACGGACGCAGAGACATCTGGTGCGTGCCACGGACAGGAGGAGGACGCTGACGCGAA